GGGACTATCAGGCTCAGGCAAATGTCTTTGTCAACTCTCAGGCCTACCGATGTAGCACTACATTTGACGCCCGCTACCGTAGTGGGTCCCGTGATCGGAGCATTGGTGGCCGTCGCTGAAAGGAAAGACCCCCCGATGACCTTGACACGCCCCTTGATAAATACATAAAATTATAATGAAACCAGCTGCAATGATCATTGATCCACCAGGGGAGCCAGTGATTAGAAGCTGGCACAGTGAACTCATGTGAAAATCACGACAGCTGATAGATCTACAGCGTATCTGATATAGCTGACTTTGTAGTCCATATGTCACGGATTAGGATCATATTCTGTGCTAAATGAGCAGCACATGTCTCACTTTACAAAACATCCACAGTTGCTATCTTAACCAAAATAAGGTTGTTTATGCACGTGCGATCACTACATACTATACAAAAAACCATGGGTTGTTTTTTCATCAGGAAATCCAAGCCGCTTAAACACACGATTTTTAATCATCATGCCTCCGATCAGTTTAATGATAATATGTTCGCCGAATTGACATGAAAGCACTAAACAAATATTGAATTTGCTGTAGTTCCCCTCTTACAACGTTATTAACGGTGCCTTAAATCATGAATCACTAANATGTTAGTAACAGTCACAAGCTAACATTAGCTACTTTATGTTAGTGATAGTCACAAGCGGGGGGGCTGTTCCCGTTCGAGTCCAGTTTTGGATAGTCTGCCGTGGTTTCGTTCCATTTCAAAGTGCTGTTTGACGCTCGGAGTAACCTTGGCACACTGCCACTCCAACATCCAATCCCAGAGCTTGAAGATTAATCACGGGGTTTGTCAAGCAAAGGGGCTGTAGTCAAGCTGAGGATTTTGGGTAGTGTAGTGTCTTCGGCCATCCTAAACTCCGAAAGGTTTTTCAGATTTCATATCGCATTCACACCATATCCCAACGATTTAAAATAAGAACAATAATCGTGGCTTGATATTGAGTAAGAACATGTTTTTATGAACCACACAGCTTCCGGTCTTCCAAGACCCGACCGGACAAAAAGACGTGTTGCAGGCACGAAACACACTACCAATAGAAATACATTGATTTTAAAATCGTTCTGTGTGACACGAAAAAAAGGGGAAAATCGTGTTGGTGAACACAAATCAATAGATTAAATGTCGTGACTATAACACGCAATGCCGTGAGACTGGGTTGAGTATTTTCAGACCATATTATTTCATACTTGTACTTGCGTAAAGGAGTACTTCTTACCCCCCTGCATGTTTGTGGTGCCTTCTAACACATGACTCGGGTAGACGATTTGTTGAAACGCATACCTGTCATTGTAAATAGTTAATGTAAGCCCTCCCTCAGGGTGAACACGTCTTGTTTGCAAGTCCCGGAGTGTTTCCCAGTCTGCTGCCTCCAAAGAGTTAAACTTAGGAGAGATGCTGCAATACTTCCTCATGATTTCTGCTGACTAACAGGCCCGGACTGTGTTTTAAGTGAGATACTCTAATGCTTAATGATGAGTAATGAATAGATAATGAAGTATTAGCTCAGTGTCTGGCGATGCATTTACTGGAAGCAATTATTAATATAACATAATCATAATTATAGACTGAGTATTGAGTAGAGATTACTCATCACCTGCCCAGCACAGATTGCTTTCTTCTTAATTGTTGTCAAGTAATTTTAATTATCTGCAAATAAGCCAGTGCACACATTAAGCAGCAACCCCTGAAGAGACTTTCTGTGAGTCCCAATCAGATTTAAACTTTTGAATTTACACTGTCACACTTTAAAGTGCAATCGGACATTTATATTACTTTATTTCTTCTACAGATTCTCTTAATGGGCACCTGGCACATACTGTTTTATCAGGTGTAAAAAGAAAGATCTTCAGTCTTTGCTCAGAATCTTAAAAAACGGCAACATGATTACCTGTTGCTTCATTAATCTCATTTTCATTCAAAACATTTGTTTGCTAGGATCTGTAGTTTCTTGAGAAAGTAAAGAAGCTAAATCACCTACAATTATTTGGAGATCAAGCCAATAGAAGCCAGCGTTTCATAGTGATGTTCAGGAAGTAAACACAGGAGTTAAATTGTGGCGTTTCAAGCAGGGGGGGTAGTGTGTGGAAGAGAAACTGCCTCTGGAGGGAACTTTGGGATTTTTGCCTTTGCAGACCATTTACATACATAAAAACCTATAGAACAAACTATAGGAGAGGGTAAACCGCAAAAAGCATTAAGGGTCCCCTAAACGCAGCCTCTTGTATAGCAATGTTTTAATAATACATATTGAAAGTCTTGACTCTTTTTAAAATAGACCCCAGTAAGCCATTATAACCATAATTGTGCTTAGAGCTTGAGCTTTCCCAATGCATTTTCTTTCATTCTGAATCTTCTGATCCTACTCCTAACAGAATACAAAGCCACAAACTGGACATACTCTTCAGTGTTTCCTTTTTGGCAGTTTTGCATGGAGGCTTTATCATCAACTCTTGCTTTGGGAGGCACACTTTGGGAGGCACATTTAAAAAATGCATCATTAAACAAATAACAAGCTTTTTCTAAATAGCTATGCATGTACCATATCATTATATTGGCATTTTACACAATGCACAATTCAAGCATTTAATTATTTCCCAAGCCATTAATGCAAATTAAAGCAGTAGGAGTAACAACAAGCGCAAGGGATGGTGTACAACAAGGTGGATTAGCTTTCCGCACACTGTCATTTAACACTGAGGTGATGCAAGTTGTTGAGACAAGATAGGATAAGACTTGAGAATTTAAGATATTCAAATTATTTATTTCTTGCCAATTCATAATGGCAAGAAGACATGAAAGGCAGGGAAAGAGAAATGCAAATAAGATCTCCTGCATACTGTAATTCAAATTCATTGCCATATTTGTCTCTGATTTCTGATCAACAGAGTTACAGTGAACCTGTAGTATTCATTTGAGATGTGGCATCTGCTTCTATTAATGTCTTCAGAATGGAGTAATTTACTTGGCTCAGTATGTTAGATGTCTTTACACTTCACCTCGCTTCCTGTTTAAGTTGAAGCCTCAGTCTGTACCTCTGATGTGCAGTTGTGGGTTTTATCTGTAATGAGGAGGACTTTGTTTGATATGCACCAAGTCGTATTATATTTGCTTTATTAACCTTTTGCTTCTGTCTGTAGCAACTTCTACCTTGACCGTCCTTGAGGGCAAATATATTTTGCAGCCACAAAAAAAACAACCTTAGAAAAACAGGAAACCCTCTTTATCTCCTGCAGCTAACTGGAAAACATATCCTCAGTTGGGGAGCATTCACCTGCCAATGTATTGTGCATGATGCTTTGAATAAATGAGATGCTTTCTTTACTTAAAGTATATGATAAACCCTGTTTAGATATGTAAGCGACTACAGTATATATGCTTCCCACTTGAGCTGCTATAGCTATTTATAACAGGTATTTATAAATCCCTGCCTTAGTCATGAGAGAAATTTATACTTCAGGCTACTTTGCTGTGTCTTTTCTACCATACTGTCTCCTCTGAGGAATTTACCCTTAGTGTGTGACTCCTGCTTGAACCGTAGATATATTCAGTATTTATATAAAGGTGTGAACAGGTGTTGCAGCTTGTTGTGCAGAGCCTCAGATGTTTTGTTTGTATTTCTGACTTTTGTCTGGTGTTTTGCTGGTGCTGACTGTTTTCTTTGTGTGTGTGTTCACACTTTTCCTCAATAAGTACTTCCTGTGTTTGATGCACGAGGTCTCCTGCTAACATAAAAACGTTTCTGCAGAGCATTTCACTCTGACCACAGCATATGCACATTTGTTTAGAGAATAAAACTTGAGCTGTTACAGTAATAGCTCCAATACAACTGTCCTTCCATGTTATATAAAATACATCTCTCCCCTCTTACATAAAGTATGTGTGTATCAAGTGAATGAAAACCACCTCTCATGCATTGCACATATCGGGGACCGGAGCGCTTGTTAATGTTAGGGGATTATAAAGTTGGACCACTGTCACTGTTGGCACAGTTAGTCTGCACAGTGTTTTGTCAGTATATTTTGAATGACTATGTAAACTATGTTAGATTAGCTAGCTTAAGGCAGATCTGCAATAATATTGAAAGGAATCATGGGATCACATTTGTTAAAGAAGTCGATAACATTTACATTTTAGGTACGTTTCCAACAACAAAGACAGTCGGTCAACGCCAACAAGCACTCCGGTCCAAGCTGTGTGCATCTTTAGTGTCTCTTGGTTTTCGTTTGGTTTTTTAGCTTCTTGCAGTGTTTCCTTTATGCAGCGCTTTTAGTAAATGCTGCACACTTTTGTGTGAAGTTGGTGAAAATGTTTCTTCATTTGCATGTGTTTTTGCACATTTGTGTTTTTTCATTTGCATCGTTTCTGAAGCAGCGGGTTTCTCCTAATGGAAATGTTTTTCATTTGCACCTGTTGGCCACCGTACTATTCCGATCATCTAGTGCATCATGCGATAATAAGTGTATGCACACATAACTTCCCCTAAGAGATAAATGAGGTTTATCCCAACCTTCTCTTTGTGGTTTCTGTATTTAAAGCTGTGTGGACAAGTCCATAAATCACTCACAGAGCTAATGTGGATTTCCTCTTTGGAGAAAATGAGTATGGATTGTGAGGTGACGGTGATTGCAGAATGGGAGTAAGCACATTAGTCATTGTTATCATTCAGACTCAGGATGCTTTTCAGGAAACGATGACACCGGGACATTAATAGGTGCAGAGGATAAATGCTCTTATATCAAGCCATTAGCTTATTTTGGGTGCCTGGGTAAATGGTTATTTAATAGCAGGAAAAGGTCAGTAAACAAATGTATTCACCAACAAACATCCTGAGATTATTCCACAGAGCAGTGGCTTCACCAACAGATTCAATGTGTTGACATTTATCATTTAGAAACTAGAAAGGGTCCGCTAATCAAAGTCTTCCACTGTCAATGCTTTGGAAACTCTTTTGATGGTAATGCAGAGTTTACCAAGCTATCAGAGTGGTGCAATTCCATTAACCGTGCAGAGGACGTGGCATGATTTCATCAGAAACTGGTAAATATTTGTAAACGACGCTTGTCATACTGATCAGATTCTCACCTTCAGGACCAAGTCCTATAGCTGTCATCACTTGTCGTTATCTTTACCAGCTGATGGAGCTATAATATTATCAAATATCTTCACATTTCGGTATTTTAAGAGCACAAAATCAGTCCTTAATTAAAATGATATACATATACGTTTGATTGCTAAAGAGATTATTTCAGCAAAAATCCAAAATCAAATGGAGAAATCCCATTGAACCAGGGAGATGCTGCCTTCAGGGTCATCCCACAAAAACAAAAAACTATTTATTTTTATTTTTACTGTCTCTTTAACATCAATCTACTGACAAATAAGTATTATTACATTGGAAGACTAACTTTACACAGTGAAAGACATCTAATTATCTTTTTGTACCCTGATAAAATGCATGCACAGCTTTTGATTAGCTACAGAACATAATGTAACACTTATTACAGGAAATAATTAAATGAATTTAAATTTATAATCTTTACTAGTCTTCTCTCAAGTTGCTCTTTTACTGTACTGTGAGAATGAAGATGGATGGATGCCCACTTCCTGTCATCCTGCATAAGAAACGCCCTTTCCCATGAGCCACTGCAGGGTAAAAAAAAGTTTGGACAAAATCAAATTTGATCCAAATTGCATTTGCTCCCGCGGAGAAGACATTGAAACCTTCTCGCCTGAATGAGCTGACAGTGATTTCATTTGTCTAAGTAGATAAATCATACATATTGAACGCGTCTCTCAGGCGTGTCACTGCTCAGACCTGATTTAATTTGCCCCTTTCTGCAGGAGCGCACGCCACGCTTAAACACAGAAAACTCTGAAGGTTACACCATTTCAGCATTTTAATTAGTTCCCCTCCTTCTCGACATCTCTCACCCGGATGCCTACTTTTCAGATATCTTGTAGAAAAAAGTATTTTGAAACACAACATATACTGACCTTTTAATAGTTTGCATTACATCAAAAGAGAGGATTCGGATAACGCCCTTGCAATACTGGAGGGTTCAAGTGCACCTGATGTGAGATCAATTGTGTTGGAGAGCGGCAGTAACACTTAGGATGCTCTTTGCCGTGTGGGGAAGCGGGGGCCATGTTTGACAAGAGGACAGAGGCAGTCTCAGGAGAGAGCGCTGATGAAAGACAAACCATTTGTGCCCACGGCTGAACACTGAAAGCTATATTTTACGGCTGCTTTTCTACCAAATTGCTTTTGTGCGTTGGGGTGGCTTTTTAAATAATGCAATCGGTTAAAAGCTCTCTATGAAGGCGTGGGAAGCTGGAGTGTATTTTTTTTTAGGAGAGAGGGTTATAATTTATGCACAATTGAAATATGGCTGCTCTGATTCAACAAGGTTCAACATGTGCACAATGTGTTTGAAGAGGCGTACGCAGACCTTCACTCCGGTGTGTTTAATAGCTGTCATTCACACTGTTTGTATAGCAAGGCTTTAACAGGACTATGATATGATGATGGCGACATGTGGCCTCTGCTGCATTTTCAAACAAATTATTAAAAAGTCACCGTTACTGACACATGCAGCTCCTTCACCTCTGCCACCCCTCTCCGTAATTAAAAGCTGTAAGTGGCTGTTAGCATGGTGACACATTCACCAGGGAGGCGAAGCTCAGACTCTGGACAATGGCTGACAAAATGATGGATCAGTTCTTCCCCATTGGCTTGTTGATCCATTTCCTCCCCCCTTCTTTGCAGAGGGTATTATTGGCGTCTGCCACTCAGGCTGCCGTGCCCCCGAGTCCCCTAACTGCTGAATAGTCAAATGAGAGGCGGCCTGTAGAATAGTTAATGTCTAACATCAGGTCACCCTGCAGAGGATCGAATGGACAGCAGGGGCCCGACTAGCTTAATGCTATTGTTAGCCTGGGTTCAAAATAATTTGCCGTGAGACACACGCATTTCACTCCATTCACACGCTCACACGCCACACCTTGTATTTCTCACGCAGAGATTTCTTTTTCCAGGGTATCACGAAGCCACAATCTTGTAAACAAACTAGGCTTGTATGAGACGCGTGTACTTAACTAGCACCCCCCCCATTGACATTCGCTCCCACGATCGACGCTCATACTCGGGAGACATAGCCACTTACGAGTTG